TTCAAAAATAAAGATAAGTCCCTTCCCCCACACTTGAATCTTGCATTGTCCTCAATGCAATTCAATTTAGAATAATCCAATTAATCTAAAAATAAAATATAAGATGCAAGGTAAAAGTGAAAGGAGAAGAGTTAACCAGATAATTTAAATCTCTGTAAGCTCTTAAAGTTAAAATTCTCATCTCTGATGGAGAATAAATGCTTGTTTAAAATATTTTTTCTCTCAAGTTCATCAAAAGCTCCTTTAGGCAATGGCTTTCCTTTATCTGGTTGAAGGTTGCATGACAATATCTCCATTGAAGATGGCCTTAACGTAGTAAAAGGAGTTTTTCTAATCATAAGTACCTGCTCATGAAGCTCAACGGAAACAACAAAATATTTCACACAAGCACTATTAGAGTCAAAATGCATAATATAATTAATAATCTCATTACTCTTAGTATTGTGAATACCATCACAAAAGCTCATAGGGATCATAAAATTAATGTTATTTAGGTGACCAACTAAATGCACGATCTCATAAGCATTATCATAATCAGAAGGCTTAACACAATAGATGAACTAATAGCCTCGATAGAATCAATATAATCAAGTGAATCATCACACTCAATAGAGTTAATGCAAACAAAAGGATCCAACAAATCATCAGAGTTTATAAGTTCATCTATTTCAACACAGGCAGCACAATTATGTAAACTATCAGATGTACAATGCATAATGTTTTCATAATTCATCATATTAGGCAACTCAGTAATTAAATCATCCCAAGTCTCATCACATTTCTCGTTCATGAATAAAGGATAATCATACTGAGTTTCCTTACTAAGATCATCATTAATGCAAGATAACATGTGCTCTTTAAGCATAACATCCTTTTGAGAACTCTTACCACCTATATTCACTTTAATCTCACAGTCACGCTCACATTTGTTCTCAATTATAGGTAATTTCTCTATCTTATCATCTCCCAAACAATTAGAAAATTCAGTTCTACTAATAGTTGCAGGCTCAATACTAGAAGCAGATAAGTCAAAGGAAGAACAATGTAAACATTCATCAATATTAACACAATCAATGCATGGCTCAACATTCTTGGACTCAATTGTCTCAGGGCACTCTAAATCAATGTTATCACAAGTATCATCAGATGTAAAATATATTATGCCATCAGAAACAACAATATCAGGTAGTGCAAGATTACTAACATATTCAATAAATTCTTTAGACCAAGAAGGGTTAATAGAATCAGGAGGGGATATATCAATCTTAGCGCTACTCTTGCATGCACCCAATTCCTCAGTACCACTAAAACATGGTTTAGTGATTTTAGACTCATCACTATTAGGAAATTCAACAATAATGTCCTCATCTATATCATTATCAAATGAAGAGTCCTCCTGCACTTGTTCTATTGGAGAACTTTGATTTACTATTTTCTGAGTCTCAAGACATTGATGTTGAAATTGTTGACTGCTCTGTTGAGGATGCTGAAATTGCATGTTATTTTTCAATATCTGCTTCTTCATAACTTCGGAACTACTCCCCTCACTAGACTCAATTATTGGGATGGGTTGGCTTACAGGTTGTAGAGGCTGTGCAGTCTCAAGCAAATCATTAGCCTGCATATAAGGGTATTTTTGGACAAAAGTTGGGGTACTCTCATAAGAATAGGTGTGGAAGTGATGGGGCGGATGGTAGTGTGACCATTGCTCATTATATGTCGGGGAACTCCTAAAGGGGTAATAGTGAGGATGGTAAGGGGCCAATTCAAGTGGTTGTGCCATTGCTTGTTCAGCAATCATTTATTTAACAATATAGGTCAATTTATCAATTTTCCTTTCAAAACTATGAGTATCATGATAAAGCATAGAGGGAGAAAATCAGTATTAAGGTGATAACCATTCCAAGCCATCTCTACAGCTAAAATAGAATCACTCAAACTAAAGAAAAATAAAAGGAAACACAAAGTCCTCTCAAGTATATGATCAAATAATGAATTTTTTTTGTGGACCCTATCCTCACTAAAGAAAAAAGAAACTACCTAAAAAAAAGTAAGGAAAAAAATCAAAAAATTAAATCTAGGAAAAAAATGAAAATAGCACCTAAAAAAATTCTAGAAAATTCAAAAAAATGAAAAAAAAATTAACAACCAAATTCAAAAAGTTAACACCTTTGACTCCTCGGCAACAGCGCCAAAATTTTGACACTACTGTCGAATAGCATCAAAATTAATAAAAATTAAATTTTACAGTAAAGCGCAACCTAGGTCGTCTCCCTAAGAATCAATAGAGTAACTATTTCAATTATGATTATGAAAAGGTAAATATGGGGAGTTTTTTTTATGATGAGATTAAAAATTAAATTAGAAATAAATAAATAGAAAAAATTCAACTAAGAAAATTACCAAGAACAAGCAGTAATGAATCACAACCTAATCACCTAAATTTAATCTTCCTCATCCACAAATTAAATTAATTTTATTTAACTTTATTATTCTGGTTTTATTATATATTTCTCAAATTATCATTTAAAAATTAAACAAGAAATTAAGTTTATAGATTAATTGAAATCTCCCTTAACCCACAACCTAACAACTGTTCTATGTTAGCCATACTAGAAACAAAGCATGGATAATCACCCAAACTAGGCCAAATTACTCTTAAGTTACTATATCAATTGATTATAGTAAGTAAAACCTCAGATAAAATTTATAATCCAAAATTATGCAGTAAAGCTACTATCAGCAATAACAATAAAAGCATAAAATTTAGAGGTAGAAAGAAGAAGAGAAAATGAAATAAAGCTAGAATAAAATTCTCTGAATATCAAAGACTGATTAAAATTTAGGATTATAGTTTGTGATTGATCACACAAAAAAAAATTAGCTCTCCATAGAACTAAAAATCAAACAACATACAATGAAAAATTGAGAAATTATCGTTGGAAAAATTGAAGAAAAAGAGAACCGCGGTCGCTACATTGTTTTTTCCCTTCTCCTCGTGATCCCCGTCCTCATATATATATATATATATATATATAAGGTGATCACTTGCGTACGGCCAAACAAAAGTTAATAATAAAATGATAAAATTACTCTAAGTAACCCTAATTAAAAATTACACTAAATAACCCAAAATAAATTCATATAAAATTTTAAAGATTTGATTCTTGATTTGATCTCCAAGTATGCCCATATTCTTCTTATCCAATATATTCTCTATCAATATCTTCCAAATTGAATTTAAAAAATCTGCACAAATAAAATAAAATAAAATAGCACCTGTGCAAAAATATTAAAGATATTATTTATATTTTAAAATTAAAGATTTAGTTAGTTAAAATTTCAAAACTGAATATTGGCTAATAAAATTAAATAATATCTAATTAAACTCAATTAGCTTCAAATAAATATTTAAAAGTCTAAATTAAAAGGATAAAAATATATAAAATTACCATTTATTAGTTATGCATTCTATGAAATCCTGTTAACTATGGTGAGAAGCATGACTAATTCAAAAAATTCTATTTAATTAAGTTTTGAACATTACAAAGAATTTGATTTTAAAATATTGGGCGATTAGTCTTATTTTTGAAAGTTTTATTTAGGTAATCTACAAGTATGGTATTGTTTTATTGTTTGGTCTTAAGAATGCATTTAAAGTGTTAGACATAATAAGTGAATGAAGTATGATGAAGTTCATTATGGGTGATAAATGTAAACTAGAGTATTGTTTTACAACTTGGATTAAGGATGTACCTAAGTTATTCAATAAAGTGAGCAATATATAAATGGTGAACTAATAGAGTTTTTGCTTGAGGTTT